CTTAGGTGTCATTGGTCAAAGTCGGTTGGGGTGGTCCAGATGTTTGTATTTTTTGATATTTTACGTCCTAATTTTTAAGATTATTTCCTACTGATATGACCCTTGATAATTTTTATTGATGCATATTTATGCCGCGCCCTAAGTTTTTCAGTACTGATTAATATCTCATGGAAAGAGACTAGTTTAATACTGAAGTAATTCATGTAGCTGTTTTATAAATAGAACTTGATCTCACTTATCAGATAATTGGTAGGGAGATTTAAACCTAATTTCGCTGTCTATTTTCATTGGCCGTCACAAATAGCGCTAACTGATAAATGAATTATATTGAAAATTATCGCTTGTAATAATTTTTCTCTAAAAAAAATGATTTATATAGGTGTTAACTATTGATTTATTATTAAGGAATCCAATCACATGAACAAGACCGACTAGGCTTCTTAGGCATCGATATTTTTCAAACTGACGCTATTTGAGGATTCATATCAGTTATAAATACCTTAATCCAATAGAGGGTCAGTCGCGCTCAGATTAACTCAGTCGTAACCCATCACACTACGAAGCTGGGTAGTGCATTTTCGGATCTCATTTAGAGCTTCAGCTTCTCTGAGAATGCGAATATAGCTTTCTAATGAGTGTGATCTACGACGAAATTTGAATCGAATGTGGTTTTCTGTCGTCTACCTTCAAAAGTACACATGAAGTCGAGTCACTTAGGCTAGCTGTCATATAGCATCTTGGCCAGTAGAATTCGATCAGTACTAAAGGACTAAACAAACATGACATCGGTTACCATACTCAGTGATCGATTGTTTGTAAAACTTATCAGTTATAAAATTTTCCATCTGCTTACAGATTACCCAGTTGTACTATTGAACATAGCAATAATTTGATTACCATTGAATAAATCTTGATCTGAATTATGTATGGAATTATATGGATGATGGTGAGTCAGTTGATGAGGTTGTAAATTTTCATCGAATAAGATGGTTTGGCCACGTATTACGCATGCCCAACCACCGGTTACCACGGCGCGAAATGTTGACTAGTGTTGGAGGCTGATGGAAGTAAGTTAGGGGCGTCCAAACCAAAACGTGACATCAGTCCTTGTAGTCAATGACTTCTGGTCTGAACCATGTTGCCAGATGCAAACTACTTTGTTGGGGTCCTCATGACTATCGTAACCAATGGGTGGAGACTCTGTGTGACATGTCTCAGAATCGATCACAATGGTGTACGTGTATACTCTTTTTGTTTCCCTTTAAACGTGTGATTAAAATTGCTTTATATCTTTCTTTCTACCAACTAATTCTTTCTCCCTGTATCATCTCCATATATAGGATCTCTTTTTATATATTACTACCATTGAATTAACTAATTGTACAAATTCTGTGTTTATGTTGTTGTGCTAACGAGGTATGGCAACTTGGATCGATGCATATATGTGCCTGATCATACGTTGTAGATGACTAACTGATTCTATAATCGTAGAAATGGATAATTTAAAACTAATAGAATGGTGAATATATATATATATATATATGTCACTCCACTTAAAACTACATTCACATATTCAATTTTCAAGACCATTGTTCGTTTTCACAACTTTCCATTTATACTTACTGTCATTTTTCGTTTGCTTTTGACAAAAAGAAATTTTGTCAGAAGGGGTTTGTGGAGATTTTAGAAATTTCACAGATTGAAGTCATGAGTCAATTGAAGCTAGACCACCATGGAAAACCTGAAAGCACTGGACGGCCGTTTCGTCCTAGTATGGGACTCCTCAGCAGTGCGCACCCACGATCCCGCACCCCGCGAGATTTGAACCCAGGGCCCATCCGTCTTCAGGAGATACTCCTGGAGTTCTAGTGAGAAGCAGTTACCAGTGGAGTTCAACCAGGTCTGTTGTGAGATATTAACTCACTGAAGACAATGGTGTACGGTGGCGCATGTTCATGGATTGGTTGAAGTTATACATTAACACCATTGGATGTCAGCCCAGTGGTCTAGTTGGTTAGGCGCTTGGCGCGGGACTGACAGGTCCTGGGTTCGAATATCGCGGGGTGCGGGGTCGTGGATGCGCAGTGCTGACGAGTCCTATACTAGGACAGAACGGCCGTCTAGTGCTTCCAGGTTTTCCATGGTGGTCTAGTTTCAATTGACTCATGATTTCAATCTGTGAAAAAGAAATTTCGTCTACATTTGTTTAAAATTAGTAATACATTTTGTAAATCTGTCAAAAAAGGAAGCAAACATTGATTGTCTCTGTATTTATTCATATGATATACTAATTATAGACTAAATATGTATCAACTAACAAACTTATTATTAGACTATTAACTAGTCAACATTATTAGTAGTGTGTTTAGTGTGATGGTTATAAAAAAGATATATACATGAATTAATTTTAATATTTCAGTTTTAATACTTATTATCAGTATAGGGTTGTGGAGATTACGATGTGATCACTAGTGACTAGCTTCGTGAAGGAGTTCTTGGAGTTCTAGTGAGAAGTCGTGACCAGTGGAGCTAATCCATTTCGGGTAGACATGTATTTACCTCATTATGATGGAAGATGGTCGCGCAATAGGGCGAAACGGCTGTCCAGTGTTTCCAGATTTTCAAGGGTGGTCAATCGGTTCAAGGTTTCAGTCAATAATTTAATACTTGTATTTTTTCAAGTATAGCATTAAATTACTTGTGTTAGTTCTTGAGATTTTACACATATATAGGTAGAAAATTAAATACTTACCCTTCTCAATTGGATTTATTTCAATGTTGTTTATAACATTGTAGATGAATTCATGTTCATGGTATAACGACAGTTTTGTTTAAGTGCGAAATGGTTTTTGTATTGTTCTGTTTATTGAAAGAGTGGTTTTAATTTTCATTGGATTTCAACTGTTTCAACGCTCTATCAACTAATCATCTTATATATTGATGTATTTCCTTCGTATTCATCAGGAAATTAGTGCTGATAAGTATTATAAAGCTTTATGTTATTACTACATTGTGTCCTATTTTCACCTTATCACATGTTATCACAGATACCATTCGTTAATTATTATTTGCAAAAGAATATGCTATAATTTAGACCGCATTTATACTTATATACAGCTGTTACCCCTTATAGGAGCACAAGCATCCTACCAGGATTCTCCGACCAACTCTGTCCTGGGCTCTCCTTCTAGTCGCTTCCAATTGCTATTCATTCTCTTGATTCCTGCCTCCACTACTCGGCGTAATGTGCTCTCAGGTCTTTCTCTTTCCCTTTTGCCTTCAGGTTTCCTTCGTCATGCAGTTTGATGATTTCCACGATGTATGTCCTATCCACTTTCAGCGTTTTTTTCCTAATTTCCTTTTCAGATGAAACCTGGTGTGATTTGTTTAGTAATCTCTGTGTTGTATTTGAGAATTTTGCTTTTACCCTCGTGTGTGTCTTGCGGCCGCTGTTACACTAGTTGTTTTCATTGGCATTTATTGCTGTGTATGAGCTGGAAGAGCCAAGTCGTCTGCGAAGTCCAAATCGTCTAGCTGCATACAAGTTGTCCGTTGTATTCCGTGCTTCCCGTCAGATGTGTAGGTCTTCATAATCTAATCGACCACCAGAACAATGATGAATGGAGAGAGTAAGCAGCTTTGTCTGACTCCGGTTCTCATTTGGAATGCACCTGTTTGCTGTCCTCCATGCACGACTTTGCAGTGTAATCCGTCGTATGAATCGCGTATGATGTTGACGGTCTTCCCAGGTACACCATAATTTCGAATAAGGTTCTGTTATCTGCTCTGTCATATGCTTTCTCATAATCAAGGAACTTGATGTATGATGACGATTTCCATTCAATTGATTGTTCAATGGTTATCCATAGTGTCGTGATCTAGTCTGTTCACTATCGATCCTTACGAAATCTAGCTTGTTTATCTCGAAGTCCCAAATGCCTACAACCTATGCAATAAAATAGTAGTATCGTATGTAATTGGAACACAAAATCAATAATTATGTCTGCAGAGAAATTTCAGACAATTTTTGTTTGACGTATCTTCCATTGTTTAACAGTTTTTTTTACGTCTATTCATGTTTTAGCGTGTAATTTGTATGGCATGAGTTGAATTAGACATTTGAAAATGACTTGACCGTAGTTCAGTTTTATAAAATCTACCAAAATATTTCAACTAAGTGGTCGTACCATGAGAATTGTCCATTCATACTAATGTAGGATTGTCAGTCGCAAGCAGCGCAAATATATTTATCAGTTCAAGCTACTAGACGACATCGGCATATCAAGGTAAATACCAAGGTTGTAGAGGTGGTACTGATAGAAGTATCAGTTGCGACAGATTCTGATTCATGTCACCTTACATCTCGAAGCATCAGCCATGATAATCTCTTGAAGCCTAATAAAGTAGTTTTTATCTGCCAGCATAGATAATTACAAGATTTATTGAATTCATTGACTGATGACATGCTTTGGTTCTTCCAATCCCATCTTTCTCCCAACCTTATTTGTTCACTAGTCAATATTGCAAGTTGAAGTTGATGGTGATTTCGGACACGTATTACATGTGCAAATCACTTCAGTCGATGACGATTTACTGTCTTACCACATTTACATAGTACCCTGCTTTAAACCTTAACATTCATCAATCTAACTGCAGATGACCAATATAGTGCTTGCTGCTAACGCTTATATTTTAGTCAAATAAATCCCGATGGTGTATCGATCGATGTAAAGTTGAATTGTGTTATGGCGTTAAGAGTAATTCATACTGGAGCTTTTATTTACTACTAGATAGAAATCTAGGTTTCATGTTTCTTAGGGATTCACTCAAACGTGTGCAAACAATATCGAGTCATTTGAATTACTAACCACATCTAAAATTGGTCATTGGAATTCAATGAACACTAAGAATTAGTCACAACTATTCATTGACTGGACAATGTCAAGTTTAATTGCTATATTGACAATGCAGATTCATGTTTTCTACAATTTTTATTTTAGTGCAATGACTGTATGGGGTGAAGAGAATGAAACAAATGCATATTCGAATTTACTCAATTTGTATCCTGATGGGACGTTTGCCTGTGTGTCCGATAGTTATGATATATGGAATGCATGCAGTAATATATGGGGTGAGGCACTACGTGATAAGGTAGGTCGGTAATCAATAAGTCATTACTGTAAATAATTTGTTTTGTTATTTTTTTTTGTGAAGAAATACGTTTGCATTACTACGTGTGTATATGAACTGGCCAATATCGTGTAGTAGGGTTCAAACATACAACGTATTGATTGATTACGTAATGCTAAATCGCATACACTTGTCAATTTATCAGAAGGGGTTTGTGGAGATTTTTGAAATTTCACAGATTGAAATCATGATTCAATTGAAGCTGGACCACCATGGAAAACCTGGAAGCACTGAACGGCCGTTTCGTTCTAGTATTGGACTCCTCAGCAGTGCGCATCCACGATCCCTCACCCAGCGGGTCTGACTTGTCAATTTAACAACTTTTAGGTTCATACTAAACATTTTCTCTGATTCCTTTAAAGTGTTATTTTCAATAAAGGAGAAGAGTAGCCCAAGTTAACTATTCCGGTTGATGCTTCCTAATCTTATTATATGGAGCAGCACCGTAATATTAGTGTAATTTCTGAAAGATATATTGATACTAGCAGTTTCATGTCTTACTCTATTTATTTATGCTCTGTAGCCTTATACTAAGTTTAAAAGATGTACTGCATTATTTTCATTGGGATCTTTCATAGGGGTAATGAAACATTTCGATATTGTTGTTTTTTATGTGCAGTTTACTGTCAGGCAGCCAGTCCTTTCTTGATTCAAATTTTCAACTGAATGGAATTGTTCACATTTTTATATACTAAAATGGTCAGCCATAAGGAATATAAGATCTAGGACAAATGTTCAACAACTCAAGTTATTAAAGTCTGTATCGACATAATCTTAGGAAATTGATAGGATGATGAGTAAATTAGTTGGGCTGATAATAATAATAGGTTAGAAAAAACATACAGAATATAGCTAGACAAAAGCAAATAGAATTAGAGAATGGCAAAGTTTTAGGATCTAAAGAAACTCATCATTCGGCGAGAAATGAAAAATCTATCCAGCTGTTACCAATTTTGTGCCATTTCACAGTAAACATCTAATCACAGTTTACCAATATCTTAATCATTTCACTCAAGAAGTCAGTAGCTCCTAAAACTGATGAGCATGGTAGTTACAGTAGTTTCATGCACTGATACCACTTCCTAGTTTCCTTCTACGTAATCTTTTGCAAACTATACGTATTCTAATCAGCATATCATGTCGAGGTTGGGAATAGTTATTCATGTGTAACAACAAATGTAATAACTATCTCAGTCAATACATGTTCACACACACTCACTCTACAATAGAAAAGATGATCTCTACTAATGTTGCCTTTATTAGATAAGTACATGTATGTTGAAAGTAATGAAAATACCTTTTTATATTGAGATAATCCTCATTAAAATCGTAATTTCACTTATCCAACAAAGTTTCTTTTTTTTTTGGTTATTTATTCTCTGAAGAAGTGACTTACACTAAGCCACGAAACGTCAGAAAATCTAATTTTCTACTCATTGGGATATTACAAATATATTATTTTATTTAAAAGTTTCTTTTGTTTGTAATTTAAAAAATGTATAGTTAGCATCATACTAGTCAAAGGCCCTCAAATGCCTTGGTACGGCCGAGAGTGGGGAGAGACCGCTCTCCCTCTCGAAATGCTCTCACATGGCCACGCGTATATAGCCTCTGCCACGGAAGTCCTACTCACTGCCTTCTCGTGGCGGGGGTGTTGTTTACGAAAATGAGAGGGAGAGAAGCGAATGCCCGGCGCTTTGGCCGGATTCCAAACCAATGGTAAACATGGGCTCCAGTATCCTGCGGGAACAAATGGCGTATGAACCAACTGTTGGTCACCGGCTTCCATGGGACTGCATCTCCTCACGATGCTCCACTGCCTTGTGGATCAGACCTTCAGGTCGAAGGCTCGGGAAGTGGCCCCCTAAGAAAACCACCTACTTCGGTTTGGACACTCGGGCAGTATCACAGCCCTCACACATGTCGAATGAGATTTGTGTGGCGCATATGTATTTGGTGCCTCCTTGTACGTATATCTATGTGTTAAAATAAATAAATAAACAAATACTAGTCAAAGACATAGAACCATTCAACAGATAGAAATGTTTTAAATCATGCTTTCTGTCTACCTATATACTAAAATTAATTTATCTGTCATGTTACTAAATTTGAATCATTTATTTATTTAAACACATAAACATTAGTATACAAGGAGGCACCAAATATATATACACCACACGAAGTAGTTATCATTAAATTTGCGAATGGGCTGGTATACTACCCGGGCACCCAAATTGAACAAGGTGGTTTTTCCTAGGGAACTATTCCCCAACCCTATGACCCAGATGCCTAATCCATAAGACATTGGAGCAACGTTAGGAAATGCAGTCTCATGGTATCCAGTAACCAACAATAGGTTCATACAACATTTGTTTCCTTAGGATCCTGAAGCTCATGTACACCATTAATTTGAAATGAATGTTTTCCAACTCCCATAAGTGGATCCTGTATATTCTCCAACCCGATTAAAGCGTCAGATATTCACTTTTATTTCATTTTTACAAACAACAACCTCATTATAAGACAGTGTGGACTTTCATAGTAGTGTCTGTATACCATAAGATAAACATAATGATTATCAACATCATTACTTTTTGATTGAGATCATGAATCAATTGATGTTAGACCACCGTTGGAAACCTGGAAGCACTGGACGGCCATTTCGTCATAGTATGGGACGCTTCATCATTGCGTCCACGATCTCGCTCCCCGCGAGATTCGAACCCAGGACCTATCAGACTCGTGCCAGGCGCTTAACCAACTAGACCACTGAGCCGGCAACTAATGGTGTTAGTGTCTCACTTCAACCAATCCACGAGATTTCGCGACCAACTTCCATTGTACTGAGGTAGATACCTGTCTCTACTCGAAACGGATTAGCTCCACTGGTCACAGCTTCTCACTAGAACTCCGAGAATTCCCTCACGAAGCTAGTCACTAGTGAGTATATGTTAATTGTCATTACTTTTTGCTTCGTACATGACCGTACATATTATGATAGAGTAGTTAGTAAATTTAGTTTTCTATCATTGAATAATTATGACATTTGTTCAGTTTAGAAGATTTCAATGAAATGAATTATCTATCTATAATATATGTGGAATGTCTATTACTTTTTAACTTGTTATCTATAAGGTTTATATACATATATATATTTCAATGATGTTATCATTATTATTATTATTATTATATTCATTTTATATAATGTGTACTTTTGAAAGTTTTCAGAAACCTCATGATTTTGACAAGTTATTATTTACATCATAACTGCCATATAAAGTTTTTTTTAAAGTCAATTATGTTGATGTGTTCTTTGTTGTTATTTCTAAACACTGTCATGATATTCACGTTTTCTTTGTTTTGTGGATTTGATTATTCACTATGATTTGATAACAATGTATTCTGTCAGTTGTATTATAGTTATCAGTTACAGTATTATTATTATTTATTGAAATGTCTACATAATATGTAAAGTATCATCAAAATCAGATGGTTTTTGTGGATATTATAGTGATTTCAATGGTTAAGATCATGAGTTAGTTGAAGCTAGACCACTATGGAAAACCTGAAAGCACTGGATGGCCGTTTCGTCCTATTGCGGGACTCCTCAGCAGTGCGCATCCACGACCTCGTTCCCTGCGAGATTCGAACCCAGGACCTATCAGTTTTGCGTGCGAACACTTAACCACTAGACGACTGAGCCGCCTTATGCGCGAAACCAGTAGGTCCTGGGTTTGAATCTCGCAGGCAGTGAGGTCGTGGATGGGCACTGCTGAGGAGTCCCACAATAAGACGAAACGGCCGTTCAGTGCCTCCAGGTTTTTCATGGTGATCTAGGTTCAATTAACTCATGACTTCAACCATTAAAAAAATATTTCTCAAAAACTCGAAAATCTAAACAAAACTTTCTTATAACAATAATCTCTTCAAACTCTTATAATTTTTGATCAAAAGTTGACATCAATAGTTCACTTTGACATGTAATTTATTATTTGTTTTAATGTTTACTACTTATAAAGTCAAGACGTATATCTTGTTTTTGAAATGATGGAGAAGATTTGTGACTTATTAGGATTTGTTATGTTATGTTCTATACGAACTAGAATATTAAATGAATGATAACTGCTAGGAATTATTTATGAACTATCATTTCATATATTCTTATTGAATAACTATTATGTAACTAGATTGTATATTTAGTCGTATTTCTTTTATCCTAAGATTTCTTTTGACTTATTTCCTACGATTATACGATTTACCATTCTTAACTTATTCCTAACGGATTAAGTACAGTCTCTCACACTCGTAGCCACTTTTGGCATGACCTTGTATAATTGTTATTTTTTATTTTATGATGTAATACGGTCTGGTTGGATTCTGTCTAAACTAAGCATATCTGAGGTATACGATTTAAATGTTGGAGGTTGATATTGTTTTCTGGACACAACAGGCTGGGCCAGGCGGGAGGCTACTATACAGAGGGCCAATAAGGACGCGGAGTTGACTGAAGGCTGCTAGTGCTATTCAACGCATCATCGATTTAGCACAGAAACAAGGTCATAGAAGTCCATATTGTGATTGACGGTTTCGCCATATGATAATTTAACGGGTCATAGGACATAACAGTTCAATCACAATATTGTCACTGTCTTGGTTCCTTAAAAAACTAGATAATATTTAAATTATCAATAGACGGATCTTGACATTTCCTGGCTATACATCGATCGTAATTGCCGATTCTCTAATTCATGTTGTTACGTCATCGGAATAATCATATTGAACGATTTCATCTGTGTAAAACCTATAATCAATTTATCCATTTTACTATTTAGGCTACTTACTATGCCTGTTAGTCCTCGTGGAGGAGCATAGGCGCCTGCTAGCATTCTCCATCCAACACTGTCATGGGTGATCATTTCCAGTTCTTTCCAGTTGCTATTCATCGTTTTCATATCTACTTCTGTTTCCCTACGTAGTATGTTCTTTGGCCTTCCTCTTTCCGCTTCCCTTCATGATTCGAAGTTAGCGCTTGCTTCGTGATGTAGTTTGATGATTTCCGTAATGTATGTCCTATCCATTTCCAACGTTTTTTCCTGATTTCCTCTTTAGATGAAATCTGGTTTGCTCTCTTCCATAGTAGGCCGTCGCTGATTGTTTCCGGCCAATGGACATTGAATATCTTACGTAGATAATTGTTTATAAATATTTGTACGTTTTTGATGATGTTTGTAGTAGTTCTCCAAGTTTCAGCTCTGTACAGTAGAACTGTCTTGACGTTTGCATTGAAGATTGTGACTTAGATATTGGCTTGCAGACAGTTGTTTTGAGTTCCAAGTATTCTTCGATTGTAGGGATTCTGTCGTTGCTTCTCCAATCCTTGGATTTACCTCTGCATCTGATCCTCCTTGTTCATCAGGTACATGAAAGATTCCACCTCTTCCAGGGTTTCTCCATTAAGTGTGATTGTGTTGGTGTTCTCTGTGTTGTATTTGAGGATCATGCTTTTTCTTTTGTGTATACTAAGGCCTACTGATGCAAAGGCTGCTGCTGCTGCTGCTGCATTAAGTTGACTATATTTAATAAACTGATCATTAAATTCATTTATACTTTTAGATAACATTCAATTTGGTTAGATCTTTCCTGTAGACAACTTTAACCTGAAGTCGATGGAGAATAGTACTTATTTTTTAGTTAATACCACACAGCTAGATGCTTCTTTATGATGCACCCCCCCTCATTCAAAATAAGCATGAAGAAATTCTTGAATTAAATTGAAAAGAAATCCATGATTATTCCATCAGTCTACTATTCAATATTCTATCAATGTTATAGTACTTTCTTTTATTGAAACAAAGATGAAATTAATTAACAAGAGAGAAACATTGTTATGTAATAAGTAATCTGGTTACACAAACACACACACACACGTTTACTTATCGTATGATATTTTCTATGAAAAAGATAATAAACATTAATTTGATGAGTAGAATAGAAAAACAAAATGCAAAACAAAGGTCAAGTAAATACAACGTGATAATTGTGAAAATATTCAAAACATTATATCACATAAATAATGACAAGTTGTGTATTAAACTACTATTAATTACTACTATTTATTTATTTAAAAAACACATAAACATTGGTACAGGTAGGAACCAAATAGGTATGCGCCACATAAATCATTCGATTTGTGTAAGGGTTGGGATAATACCTGGGTGCCCAAACCGAAGTGAGTGGTTTTCTTAGATGACCACACACGGAGCCTTTGACATAAAGGTCTGATCCACAAGTCAATGGAGTAACGTTAGAAGATGCAGTCTCATGGTAGCCAGTAACCAACAATAGGTTCATACACCATTTGTTCCCGCAGGATCCTGGAGCCCATGTTTACCGTTGGTTTGGAATCAGTGTTTTCCAACTTCTCTAAGTGGATCCTCCGTGTCCACCAAGCGCCGAACATTCGCTTTTCGTCCTCTCAATTTCGTAATCAACACCTCCGTCACGAGAAGACAATGAGTAGGAGTTCCCTGGCAGTGGTTGTAAGCATGTGGCCATGTCGATCAAACACCGAGTCGTTTAACATACTCTACTCGGAGAGGCCAAATTTCATAAGCATAAGGTAAAAATGCTCTCGCCAACGTGTTGTACATCCGAACTTTTACAGACAAAGATGGTCCAGATTAGTATAGGCCGTTCGGCTTTCACCGTGAAGTGTCACAACTCTTCTAGAGGAAGACCTAACTCCCAGGGCAGAGTTTTAATGGTTTGAATTATTTCTGGTTAGCGTTTTTTTTAGTGCGTTAGTTTTCTACGGGATGGGATCGCTAATCCCTTGCCTAATCCTCTTTCTTTATCCGGACTTAGGACTGGCAATAGCCCCAGAGGGGCTTGAAGTCATTAGCTTCTAGCCATGCCGTTAGATGCAAACTATCTGGTCGGGGTTCCACGTGACTATTGTAACCAGTTTTTGGACTCTCTGTGTCGTGGCTCAGAGTCGATCACAAAGGCGTCAGTGCGAACACTATTTGTCTTTCCTTAAACCATGATATTGAAATTATTTTCTTCCTGTATTGTATCCTTATACACAACGTTTTTTTAAATATATTACTATGATTGAAGTAACCACTTCTATCAATTTGGTGTTTATCTTGTTGTGCAAATGAAGTGTGGCAACTTGGACCGATGCACATACGTGCCTGATCCTACGTTGTAGCTGACTGACTGACCAGAGGGGCTCCAGGAGGAGTTAATTGTATTGTTTACCGTTTGTTAAATTAGTGAGTTCATTTGTATTTCAAATACATTTTCAATGATTAGAGTTCTTATCATGGGCTAGTATTATCATGTAATAATCAAAGATAAATAAGGAATAGGTAGTTGGTTTATCCTCATTTACTGATCCACATCCCTTGACTGGGTTGAAAGTTAATAACTTATATTTCTGACTTTAATCATTTCACGATTATGTACTTGTGTTGTCAACTACTCTTTATAATTGTTTGATGTGTAGCTGTACTTGTCAAACTAAGTCACTCTAACGGTTTATGATTTCACGAACTGATTACGCATTTTAATTTAATCACCTTTACCTTTTTTTTCAGTCTATTTTTTTTAACCAGTTAATGTTCCGTATATATATAATACGTGCCTCTATCACACTCATAATTACACGTTTGCAAAGTATAGATTTCGCACGTTACCAACTCATTCAGGTTAATGAGTCTTTTCATTTGTTTATTGTTTTCTCTTTTTTTGTAATTTAGGTTATAAATCGTAATGGTACAGTTGTTATACGACCGGATTCAGGTGATCCAGTTGTAATTATGCCAAAAGTATTAGATATTTTAGGCAGCAAGTTTGGTTATAAAATTAATTCTAAAGGTTACAAAGTTCTACCATCGTGTATACGAGTTATACAAGGTGATGGTGTTTCATTAGAATCATTAGGTAAGTAAATAGGATTACTTATTAGGTTTTTGTTTATCTTAATTTTTCTTTGTGGAATGCTTAAGATTTATAGTAGTTAGGCATTTTATCTATTAGTAATGACATCGAAATACAATTGTTCAATATTGTAAACAATTGAATACCAAATCAGTGATTCTAGTGATTGTACATTCGCCGCGTAACTTGATAGTTCTAGATCTGGTCACTTGTGACTTCGTGAAAACGCTCTGTTAACAAGTCGCATACTAGATGTACGTACGTACGAAGTTCTATGTTGTTGGCTGACTGACTGAAACCATGGTACGATGCCACTTCTTGTGATATAAGTGAAAAAGCAAACTGCGCTAGGAGTGGTTTTGACGCTCTGGGTGCGTGACCTGAATGTCCAAACGATAACTGCTTGAGACCGGTCACATAAAGCTTTTCTGTATCTCGACTTTAATATAGTAGCTCCTTAATTTAAATACCTTACTTTTACTAATGGAAATGCGTTGGGCAAATTGAGCTATACTACTTTTAGTGCGGACGTTTTCTCAGCCTTTTCTCCTATCATAGGAAGCCAGTTTCGCCACAGTTTCAGGTTATCTAAGGAAATTATGTAATTTCTTTCCATCTTATTAACTTCATCTTATCATTCTAATTTACTATAGAAACCCAAATTAGTACAAGTTTGTTGTCACTCTCTACATTGATTCCGACTTAATGATAACATCCTGTTATAGTCTTGAATTGTCTACATTTAATGGTCTATATAATTTCCTACAAGAATTTTCACGTAACGTCTTTCTTATTTGTTTTACCTAATTTAATTAACTTTCATCATTATTACCCCCATTTTTGTTTCCTAATTTATTTGACTCATTTAGATCCTATTCTGAATAGTATCAAGACAGCTGGTTGGAGTGCTGAAAATGTTAGTTTCGGAAGTGGTGGTGCATTATTACAACGTTTAAATCGTGATACACAGAAATGTGCTTTCAAATCAAGTTTTGCTATAGTTAATGGTCATAAGGTAAATAAATAAATAAATATATTATTATTATTAATATGATCTAATTAGTACAAATTTATATACTTTGTCTTTTAAGCCACACTATTTGTATGACAACTTATCATACTACTTACTACATAGTTTATCTAAACTGAAGTAGTAGGTAGAATCATTTGATTATGAATACAGTGATCTTGAGTGCTGTTAGAGGTGTAACGGCGGTTATCTCTTCCCGGTTGCCCACACCATGGAAGGGTTCTTCTGGAGGTACCCTGACAAGGAAATTGGATTAGAGGTGGTCTTCGTGACCTGAGAGTGTGACCGCAGTGCCCAAGGGACAATTGCTTGAGATCGGTCACACACGACCATTTCATGAGTAATTTTTGTGTTAGCTGCATACTTGTTGAGACCTTACCACCAGAGACGAATATCCGACCATCATGTCAAGGTAGCAACAACGGTTGGGAGTAGGTAGAACAGTTAAGTTCTAACCTAATACTGTGGTGCGTGCTACTTATATTGATATAAGTAGTATATAACGTGAGTCAAAAGAACGTAACGTCTGGCAGCAGAAGATGGAGAAGATCAAGAAAAGAAGAGCGAGAAAACAATGGAATTTGTAAGAAATCGCATGAACAATGAAATGCGAGACAATGGATTGATGTTTGCAAAAGCAACAGTCCGGTTTGATATGATAGAATAATATTTTGCAAATTAACGATTTACTATATGGTTTTTGTATTTTACCAAGTAATTCTGTAATTTGTCCTAAATACAATTTGGTTGTCCTCACCCGTGTTCTCCTTCACTACATTTGGTGTCGCTGCCTCCACTAAGGATGAAGATTCCATGGCCGAAGGAGTTTGAGGACGGAGATGTGCTGAGCTTCCTGAAGGAGTTTGAGGCCGTGGCGGAGCTGGTGGGAGTGAAGGAGCCGAAGACGAAGCTGGTGGTGCTGGGGACGCTTCTGAGAGGCAGGGCGAAGGCTGTGTATGACAGCTTGGATGGTGCTGGCGGGAAGACGACATGGGAGACAGTCACGGAGCGGTTGACGGCGGAGTTTGACAGCCCAGTGGACAGGGAGGACGCGCTGCAGAGGTTCCGGCTGGCGAGGTTGCCGGTCGATGGTGACCCACTGGTGCTGGCTGTCGAGCTTACCAGATTGTTACGCCGTGCGCTGCCGAGTCTGGATGAGGAGTCGGAGGCACAGTTGTTGGCGTCGCAGTTTATCGAGAGTGTGCCTGCCACCGTCTCCCAACAGCTGAAACTGGTAAACGCAGCGCAACCGATGGATATCAGTGAACTGGCGAAGGTGACTCGTCAGCTGATGACGCGAACAGTAGCTCCGGTCGGGTGCGAAAAGCAGGAGATGAATAACGTCGAGAAGAAGATTGAGGAGATGGAGCGTGAGATTCCAACAATACGAGTGAACAATAAAAGGAACGATAAATGTCACGCTTGTGGAGGGACAGAACATTGGAAGATAAACTGTCCAACAAGACGAAGACGCAGATATGTTAGACGTTACAACGAGTGTTCTTTCTATCCTAGGAATCTGGGGATTGTTGCGTTAGTAGACAGAGGGGCAGTATATACGAGAGTGAACATAAATGAGCGAGATTTAGTTTGTCTGAGCGATACAGGTGCAGCAGTATCGTTAATAGGCAAAGAGCAATGTAAGAGAATCAAGCCGTGTACATTAGCTGTCCACACGATAGGGGGCCATATGTTAGAGGTGTTTGGCGTATCTAACAGTATCGTAAAATTGGGGGATGCTGAGATAAATTTTCCGTTCGTCGTAACCACAAGCTTATCGAGACCGATATTAGGAGCAGATTTCCTAAGAGAAGTAAAAGCGATAGTTGACTTAAGGAGCGGTAAGGTGGTCACGAAATATGGTTCATTGCCAATACACGAAAGTAGCGAAGTGGCTGAAATAAGAGTTGCAGCGGATGTCTCGTCAAAGAAACCAAACATTCACGAGTTATGCAAAAAGTATGCGAAACTATTCACGGGAGATCAGAAAGACTACGACAGCAACTTGTTAAAAGGGGGGACGAGTGTGGTGCGTGCTACTTATATTGATATAAGTAGTATATAACGTGAGTCAAAAGAACGTAACGTCTGGCAGCAGAAGATGGAGAAGATCAAGAAAAGAAGAGCGAGAAAACAATGGAATTTGTAAGAAATCGCATGAACAATGAAATGCGAGACAATGGATTGATGTTTGCAAAAGCAACAGTCCGGTTTGATATGATAGAATAATATTTTGCAAATTAACGATTTACTATATGGTTTTTCTATTTTACCAAGTAATTCTGTAATTTGTACTAAATACAATTTGGTTGTCCTCACCCGTGTTCTCCTTCACTACAATACTACTAACTACTGTCAGTCAGTCAGCTACAGCGTAGGACCAGGCACATATATGTATCGGTCCAAGTTGCCGGATTCATAAAAGTAGTTAATTCAGAGGTGGTAATATATAAAAGAAAGATTGCAATAAGGATATGGTACAGGAAGAAAGAATTAGTTCGTAGAAAGAAAGATATGAAGCGATTTTAATCTCTTAGTTTAAGGGAAGACAGAGAGTGTATACACCGACGCCATTGTGATCGATTCTGAGCCATGTCACCAAGAGTCTCCAACCATTGGTTACGATAGTCACGCGGACCCCAACCAAGTAGTCTGCATCTACCAACATGGCTCAGACTAGAAGTTAGTGACTTCAAGCACTGATGCCACGTTTTGGTTTGGCCGCCCCTAACTTTCTTCCAACCATTTCCAATACCGGATAGCATTGCACGTCGTGGTAATCGGTGTTCAGGCATACGTAACACGTGGCCCAACCATCTCAGTCGATGAAGATTCATAACCTCATCAACTGATTTACCATCATTCCCTAATACCCTGCGTCTAACCTCACTATTACTTACCCGGTGATCCCAACGGATGCGAGCAATATTTCTAAGGCACCTGTGGTCAAATACTAGTAGCTTACGAGTGTCTTCTACTCTTAAGGGCCATGTTTCGCTGCCGTAAATTAAAACAGAACGGACTGCCGCGCAGTATACTCGTCCTTTTATTGATAGACGGATATCTCGCCTTCGCCATAGGTGACGCAAGTTGGCAAAAGCCAATCGAGCTTTTCGAATCCGTGCTGAGATTTCGTCCGATACCAACCCATTAGGGCTGATCAGACTTCCAAGATAAGTGAAGTTGTCGACGCGTTCGACTACTTCATTCCCTATCCTTAGTTTAGGTGTTAACGCAGACCAGTCCTGAAGCAACAACTTGCATTTAGAGGGAGAGAGTCTCATTCCAAACATTCTGGCATTGTTGCTTAGTGCTACCAGAAGACTCTGCATTTTGTCAGCGTCTTCACCAAACAGGACTGTATCATCTGCGTATTCTAAGTCAATAAGTGGACCTCCTGGAAGGAGATCAATACCCGAGAATTCAGTCGACGAGAAAGTTATTTCCATCAGTAGGTCTATGATGAAGTTAAACAGAAATGGGAAAAGTGGACAGCCTTGACGGACACCACTTGAGGTTGCAAAAGTAGATGATAGTTCGCCATAAGCTCTGACTCGACTGGTAGTGTTCGAGTAAAGAGCCTTTACAAGGTTTATGTGCTTCTGGGGTACGCCTTTCAATGACAGACACTGCCACAGAATCTCGTGGTCTACAGAGTCAAATGCTGCTTTTAAGTCAAGAAAGACCACCATCGTCGGACGTCGATAAGTATGCCTGTGTTCTAGAATCTGACGAATGGTGAATATGTGGTCGATGCAGCCACGACCAGGTCTGAAGTCAGCTTGATTCTCTCGTGTTTGCAGTTCACGAGTCTTAGTTAGGCGTCTGATAATTATCGAGGCTAGTATTTTAGATATTATATTAGTTAAACTAATCCCTATATGGTTGTCATAGGATGATTTTGACCCTTTCTTATATATTGGGACGATAAGTGATTGTGACCAGTCAGATGAAGTAACGTCTAGCTCCCAGATCTTAGCTAAAATATTAGTCAACCTAATCGCTAAAATTGGACCACCATCCTTAAAGACCTCTGGAGCCAATCCATCTGGACCAGCTGCCCTTCCTCGTTTCAGATTAACTATAGCCTTTTGAACTTCAGCAAGAGTTGGGGGACCTACTTCAATGTTCCATTCACACTGTCTGGGAATGGAGGGTAGTTGTAGAGTAGCTGAACGCCAGCTGAACTGTTCTCTGAAATGTTCCGCCCATCGTTCTAAACGCCTGGACTGGGAGCAGATGAGAGTATCGTCTTTTTCCGATATAATCTCACTTACACTTGACTTATTAATTCCAGTTTCTTTTATTAGTCTATAAAGCTGTCTTGTGTTCCCTATAGCCGCCGCCTTTTCCATCTGTTTTGCTTTCGTCGCCCACCACTGCTCACGGTCGTTTCTTAGACTTTTTCTTAACCTAGATCTGATGTGTTGTCGCTCTTCCTCATGTTCGGAACCTGATGGGACGAGTTTGCGAGAATCCATCAGTGTGATAGACTTTGAAGAAATCCACTGGTTCTTTGTAACTCTGTGGTTTAAGTCATTAATAGATTTCATTGCTGTTTCCACAGCTGTTTGTATATCTTTCCAAGCAACATCTGGGTCAGCCTCGTCTTCAGAACTACCTAATCGTGACCTCAGTTGTTCCTGGAACCTACTTTTGGTTTCCTCGTTACTCAGTTCGGTTCTAATGGGTCTTTTTACTGTGGCTTTTTTGCGTCCGGTGAGGCGCAAGCAGATGCGTGCTCGTATTAGGGCATGGTCGGAGTCCAAGCAGGTACTCCAGAATGAGCGACAATCTTGTACCGACCCTCTCCAACGATGACTGATGGCAATATAGTCTATTTGAGTCCATCGTTGGTTTGGTGTAGGGGGTCGCCATGTTAGACGATGTCTCCCCTTATGCTTAAAATTTGTGTTTGCTAAAAATAAACGATTGTCTGAGCACAGTTGCAGCAGACGATCACCATTATCTGTTCGCTGTGCTGGAATGCTAAAATATTCACCTAAATGCCTTTCTGTTTGGTTTAAGCTACGTATCTGAGCATTAAAGTCGCCCCCTACGAGTACTATGTCTGAACGTTTAGCTTTCTGAAGAAGTTCAGAAAGCTTTCTGTAAAATTCATCTTTCATTTCATCTGAGCTGCAGTCGGTGGGAGCGTAGGCAGAAACGACGAAAAGGCAACGACGTGTGTCCCTATCCTTCCGAGTTCTTACGGAGCCGTTTAGCCGAACAGCACATAGACGACTGTTGACGGGGATCCACTCTAGCAGTGCTTGTTCCGCCCTCATGCTTAGTGCTATGCCTACACCTGCCAGTCCACGAGAGCTGGCCATCGGGTCACCTGATACACGGAGGATGTATCTCGTTGGCTCTCGGTTTTGTCGAGGTGAGGTCAAGTGAATGACCACACTGGAATCCTGTATGCGTGTTTCAGAGACAGAGCATACATCAATAGTACGAGATTCTAGGGTTTTAGCCAAGGAAGCCTGTTGACCGATTTGACATAGGGTGCGTACATTGAAGGCTCCAATTTGTAGTGTGGAGCGAGGTTTCAGTAGGCCTGGGACATTGTTTTGAGCACTAGAATCGTTGGCTATGGTGACACTTGAGGGGGAAGCCGAAAAATGAAGTTTGAAGTTGATGTAGGAGGAATAATAGGAATTAAAGAGGGAGGTTGATTATGAATACAGTGGTCTTGAGTGCTGTTAGAGGTATGAGGGCGGTTATCACTTCCCGGTTGCCCACACCGTGGAAGGGTTCATCTGGAAATTGGATTAGAGGTGGTCTTCGTGACCTGAGAGCGTGACCGCAGTGCCCAAGGTACAACTGTTTGAGGACGGTCACACACGACCTTCTTATGAGTAATTTTTGTGTTAGCTCCGTACTTTTTGGGACCTTACCACCGGAGACGGATATCCGTGAGATAAGGCGAAGTGTGCATTTTTAGGGTCGACCTATTCTAACCCCACCCCTCCTTGTGGGAAGGCAGCATCGCTATCATGCTGGTTGTCTCAAGGAAACACCTTACTGTTGTCGCACCTCTGTTTAGTCAGCAGTACGACTTCGCCTTCGGACCTTGAGTTTGTTGCTTTTAGTCTTACCGCTGTTCAACCGACCTGTGTGTTGTGGTAGGACCTTGAAGAACGGTTGTTCGCGCCAGTATAGTTCGGTTGCTTCATCACGATAGGCAAGCACGAACACCACGTTAAGGTAGCAACAACGGTCGGGTACTAACTATTGATGTAAATGTCAATTGTTTGAAACAACTAAGTTTATCCATTTCATAAATAACTAGATTGTTTATTCACAATTGGTTTATTTTATTCATTTGACAAACCTTTTTTTCTTTCCTCTCAATATCTATCTCTTGGTTAACAGATTCAAGTATCCAAACATCCAATTACTGATCCACAAAAAAATTCGAAAAAAGGTCGTTTAACATTAGAAAAGTGTCCAATAACTGGGATACTCATGACGGTAGAAGAAGGTTGTGGTAGTCCATATAATGTAGGTTATTATCAGTCATTGTTTGTATTGATGTATTATGTGTACTTCAAATAATTTTTCTTTGTTAGTTGTTAACTATTTTTGTATAATTTATTTATATTTTATAAGAATTAAAGTTGTGAAACTCTAGGACCTTATCAACAACTTTGGATTATTCTAAATGGGCGGGACCAGATATAAGATAACAGGTTTTGAATTTTGGCGTGAAATTCATCACCCATTCATTTGGCTAAATAGAATTTTAGCATTATAGTTGATGTCAGTTCGTGGTGAAAACCCTAAATGTAATTCCGAACTTTAACCATCAACTGTAAATCATAAGTTTGATTTCTCACATTGGTTTATAATCCGCATTTAGTCCTAGTTATTGGGTGAACACTCTCAAGCGTCGCTCAAATGTCGCCCATAGGTTATAGTCGCACCCTCTAAATGTTATTTTATAATAGTATACCAAATCCTCACACAACATAATTCAACGTTTCTTTTTTAGAAAAAAAAAAACACAAAAGACAGACAATGTTAGTAGTTCAGATTAAGAATAAGGATTAGAGTTGTAAGTTTATATTAATAGGTAAAAGAATAGCTTGTAGAAGTATGGATGTATACTTACTTAGTGTGTGAGATGGTGAAGAAGATTTGTAGCTCAGGTGAATGATTTTGATGAAGTTTTGTTCTCTGAGCTGGATGGTTCGGTCGTTGAGCTTTCATCACCAGCACTTCTATCTGAAATGGAGATAGACATGAGAAAAATGAACAAGAATTGGATGGAATTAGAAAAGAAGGCCCAGGACAGAGTGGGTTTGAGAATGCTGGTCGGCGGCCTATGCTTCATTAGGAGTAACAGGCGTAAGTAAGTGAGTAAGTAACTTCTATCTGGATTTTGTGCTGATGATGTCGTTCAGAAGAACGATGAAAGCTCCACGACCAAACTCAAATATCTTTACAAACACACAAATTAATAACGGCTAACCCTCAGGAAGTGAAAATAGATATAAACAATTGACAAACTTGCAGAAACAAACATTTTGCACTTCTATAGAACAGAATGCACTTTTCAATTGCGTATGAATCTATTGTTGGTCACAGGCTATTACGTGACTTCATCTCTTGATGCTGCTCCACTGACTTTTGGATCAGAATTTTAGGTCGAAAGCTCCGAGTGTGGCCCCTTAAGAAAACCACCTGCTTTAGTCTGGGCACCCGGGAAGTATCACAGTTCGCACACAAATCAAGTGACTTGTGTTGCGCATATGTATTCGGTGCCCCTTTGTACCAATATTTGTGTTCAAATAAATAAACAAATACATTCCCTTTTCATCCTGTCATAAAACTTAAAATAGTAGCTCTTCGATTTTTGTGCGAAATCCAAAACATGACGATAGACAGGTTAAGAGCTACATAAAATTGACCAATATTTAAGTTAAAGAATCGCTTACAATCAATCAGTACAGGAAGACAAGGAAATAGTAATGAATTTCAGAGGTCATAAAAGTAACTGTGAGTAAATGATCATTATTCTTTTATGAAAAAAGTAATAAAGAACAAATTGAATTAAAATCCATCTAACATTTTAATAAGATTTACGAACTTCCCAAAATAAACTTAACATATTTGAGTTTCAAAAGCAAAGTACAAACGATGTAATTTTGTTGGAGTTTTGTTCTCTGTGTTAAATGATTCGGTCTTGGAGCTTTCATCACCAACACTTCTGTCTGAACTTTATGCTGATGATGTCGTTCAGAAGAATACAACTGAATACAACTAAACGTCGTTATACACAACAATTCTACATAACATAACATTATTCATAATAAGTAGAGATGGATAGTGGCTAGCAGTGGAATCCACAACTTCCGTTTCGTCCTATCTGACACTCGTCAGCTAGATGCATCTGCATCCTAGAGTTGATATTCACTCGTAGACTCGAAGGCAATCTACACAGGATACACATATATCATTAAGAGACTGATCAACTTCAGTTCTAGACATCAATGAGAAGATTCAAATAAACAATACAAAATGATTTATACATAGTAGTTAACCTCACTCATTAGATTTTAACACTAACTATCAATAAGAAGGAGTTATCAATTTCTGTTTATTATTTTGCCTTGAATTCCTTTCCTGTTATTGTTTAAATCTCAGATATTACTATAATCTTGGTATATATATATATATATATATATATATATATATATATATATATATATATATATATATATATATAAATTTTAATAGTTGGGATCATGAGTCAATTGAAGCTAGACCACCATGAAAAACCTGAAAGCACTGGACGGCTGATTCCTCCTAGTGTGGGACTGTTCAGCAGTGTGCATCCACGATTCCGCCTCGCGTGATTCGAGCCCAAAGACTGTCCGTCTGGCGCGCGAGCGCCTAACAATTAAACCACTTAGCCAGCTGTCATCTAACGATGTTAATGTCTAACTTCGACTAATCCACGAAATAGAGCGACACATCAATTGACTCATGATCTCAACTATCAAAATTACTGTAACGCCTTCTGATATTAATCAATATATACTCACTAGTTACGGTCTCCAAGAGGTATTTCCTGGAGTTCTAGTGAGAAGCAGCGACCAGTGGTGTTCAACCGGGTCTCTTATGAGATAGTAACTCACTGATGGCAATGGCGGATGTATCGCTCAATTGTGTAGATTATTTGAAGTTAGAAATTAGCATCGTTCGACGCCGGCTGGCTAAGTAATCTGGAGGTTATAGCCCCCGAGCACGAAACGGACAGGTCATTGGTTGAAATCTCGCGAGGCGAGGTCGTGAATGAGCACTGCTGAGGAACCCTACAATAGGACAAAACGACCGTTCAGTGCTTCCAAGGTTTTTATAGTGATCTAGCTTCAATTGACTCATGATCTCAACTAATAAAATTACTATAATATCCACAAAACCCGTTCTGATACATATATATTAACCAATAAAAATCAAGGTGAAAAGTATTATTATTATAATATAACGCTAGTGTTTAGATGTTTGAATAATAATAATAATAATAATAATAATAATAATAATAATAATAATAATAATAATAATAATAATATGTGTATCCATTAGCATAAATTGTGTTACAACTTGCTTTTCTCTTCTATTTTACAGGATTTACTTATCCCAGTGTATGAAAATGGCGTCTTATTAAAAGATTATACACTGGATGAAGTACGTGAACGAATTGAAAAGTATCCACTTGAAGATTGACATATATTTGTTTTTTTTTCTTTTTTTTAAAATTAATATCTCTTAGTATTCATTATTGTTATTCTTCTGATTATTGATTACTTATCAATGATTACGTAATACATTTAAAATGAGTAGCAATGTGATTACTTTACTGCCCAGGTATTTTCCCTTTTACTAATCAATTTGCACCATTTCCCGGTACAATTTTACCCCTTTCTATTTCCTTTTTTTTGTAAACGTATGTATGTATGTATGTATGTGTGTGTGTAGATGAGTAAATCAAGATATTATTATTTTCTTGTTGAAACTATTACAGAATATGTATACATACAAATATTCCATTTGTAATTGTTCTTTAAGTAATTTCTTATAAATAATCAAGTGAAATACGGCTAAATATTATATAATATCAGAATTGTTATTATGGCTACTAATGGTTGAGATCATGAGTCATTTGAAGCTGGAAGCTTTCAGGTTTTCCCTGGTGGTCTAGCTTCAATTGACACATGATTTCAACTATTGAAAGTATTATATAATCATTTCATAAAGCACTTCATTTTGTGCATATACACATATATATATGATTAGAAATAGAGTTTTTTTTATAATATGAAATATCATCTTATTTATTAGATGATATTAAATAAGTAGTATATAATAGATTTGAATAAAATTGTTCTTATTAGTTTTTAACTCTCGAAATGAAATGTAAAGAGTCTTTAGTGTTTGTCTTTTTCTTTGTTGCTTATCATCTTGATTACCTAATGAAAGTGTATTCCTAATAAACATTGAAACGATAGAGTTTTCTTTTTGCTCAATGATTGAAATCTTTTTGGAGTATGATTTATTACATGGAGTTCCCATTTTTGTTTTTTTGTTTTTTTTTTTGTTGTTGTTTTTCTAATAGAAAATTTATTATTTGTATACTTGATCCTTGTATTTGATATTTCATATTTGCTAATTAGTCTCCCCCTACCACCCTCCCTCCCTACGCGTCAACATACATACATATGTATATATGCATAAAATAATAGTAAAGTGATGTATAAATGAAGGGGGAGGAGGAGGAAGAGGGGAAGGAGGCCAATTTCCTTCTTCTTCTTCTTCTTCTGGTTTGTATTCTGTTTGTTTTTTTTTCTAGAAAAAAATTTCTTTATTTTTTGATGAACAGAGTATGGAAACGAGAAAAAAATGATTGTAAACAAGATATATTTATTTGTTTCCTTTTTTTTCGAAATTAAATGAACTTCATTATTAGTGTTTATATTTCTATGAAGCTTTTCATCAGTTACATATGTAGATGTGTAAGAAACATTAAATGAAATCAATCATATGCTGTTCCGATTATGTCTTGATAAGCTGAATTGTTGTTCAGAAGAACAATGAAAGCTCCATGACCAAATCATTCAGGTCAGAGAACAAAACTCTAACAACATTCACTTGAACTATAAATCTTCTCTACCATCTTAAAATACGTATTATTATTTACGGTAGCACACCTTTCCTACTTCTATTTCTATGGTTAAAAACATTTTTCGTCCTAGTCCTTAAGCGTTATGCTTTTTAGGTGTTACATTGTTTCATTTTCTATCATTTTAAAATGAGGATTCTGATTTCCCAGAAAAAAAAAAGAAATTACCAAGGCCTACCAAGTTTGGTGATTAGGATGGGTGATTTAACTTTATGATTGAATTGTCCTAAATTTTTTAAAAATGAATTAAATTCTGGCACTTGTTGAAGAACTGTTATCGATTAGTAGCTAATATAATAAAACACATAACCAAAGCCAAGTTTTAGGAATTCAAGAGGGAGGTCGATTATGAATACAGTGGTCTTGAGTGCTGTTTGAGATATGAAGGCGGTTATCACTTCTCGGTTGCCCACACCATGGAAGGGTTCTTCTGGAGGTGCCTGAAAAGGAAATTGGATTAGAGGTGATCTTAGTGACCTGAGAGTGTGACCGCAGTGCCCAAGAGACGACTGCTTGAGGTCGGTCACAAACGATCCGTTTGTGGGTAATTCTGTGTTAGCTCCGTAATTATTGAGACATTACCGCCGGAGACGGATATCCGTGGGATAAGGCGAGGTGTGCATTTTTAGGGTCGACCATTCATAACCACAACCCTCCTTGTGAGAAGGCATCATCGCTGTCATGTTGGTTGTCTGAAGGAAACACCTTACTGCTGTCACACCTCTGTTTAGTCAGGAGTATGACTTCGCCTTCGGACCTTGGGTTTGTTGCTTTTAGTCTTACCGCTGATCAACCGACCTGTCTGACATAGTAGGACCTTGAAGAACGGTTGTTCGCACCAGTATAGCTCGGTTGCTTCATCACGATAGGCAAGCCCGACCACCACGTTCAGGTAGCAACAGCGGTCGGGAAGTAACTCTGTAATGTTGTGCTAAATATAGTTCGGTTGTCCTCACCTGTGTTCGCCTTCACTGCAGTATTACATAGTGTAGTAATTCAAATACTTCTGTATAAGAGTTAATTTAACGTATAATTGGTATAATTTCCCAATTGTAAAGTTTAATTGCTTTAATCAATTCATAATATCAATGGTTAAGATCATGAGTCAGTTGAAGCTAGACCACCATGGAAAACCTGGAAACACTGGACGGCCGTTTCGTCCTAGTATGGGACTCCTCAGCAGTGCGCATCTACGATCCCGCACCACGCGGGGCTCGAACCCAGGACCTATTGGCTTCGCGCCGGAGCACTTAACCACTAGACCACTGAGCCGGCATCCAACGGTGTTAATGTCTAACTTCAACTAATCCACGAAATTGAGCGACACATTCACCATTGTCTTCAGTGAGTTACTATCTCACAACATTCATAATATAATTATTTTAATTGTTATTAACTACCTAACTCCGCCTGTAGCTCTTCTGTAGTTACTGCCGGTCCCAATACCGGGTAAAGGAGGGGGGTTGGGCATGAGATAATAATGACCTAAAAATCAATGAAAAGTACTAAATTATACAGGTAATTTATACTGTGGTGGACCAATTAATATATGAACTGAAAAATGATAACAGAGTTATTAAGTATAAATAGTAATGTCAATATATATATCAGTTAAACGTTATAAACAAAAACAAAAATTAGAGGCGTTACTTGGTTCAGTAGGTTTGTGCGTGTTCCGATTGAATTTGTTACCAAAATCCACAATTATAGATGAATGAAGATTCCAGTAAGACTGATTTCTTTCCAATGATATAACCAAACGTAGAATATAGTATAATTTGGTCGTAGTCTATAAATATAGACAGTAGTTGATTTAGAGTTCAGTTAACATAATCACGAGCAAATGGAGAACAAGAGGTATGTGTATATCAATGTATTTGTTAGTAGGTAACAACGTGTATCATGCTATGAGTTGTAACACGACGGAAGAAACTATGGTCAAGGTCATACACTTAAACAACACGTACAATCTTTTAATGATAAATTTACAAGCTATAAAAAAACTAACAGAATAAATACAAATAACATCAAAAAAACTATTTACATAATAAGCTTGTCATGCATATCTCCATAATACTATGTATTGAGCAATTTATATAAAACACCATACATTCAACTAATTGTACAATTGACCTCATAGTAAACAAACTTGCACTCGACTGAGATGGTTAGACCATGTGTTACGTATGCATGAACATCAATTGCTACGACGTGCAATGCTGACAAGTGTTGGAAGATTATGAGGGGCGGCCAAACCAAAACGTGGCATCAGTCCTTGAAGTCACTAACTTTTAGTCTTAGCCATGGTGGTAGATGCAAACTATCTGGTTGGGGTTTGCGTGACTATCGTAACTAATGATTGAAGACTTTGTGTGACATGGCTGAGAATCGATCACAAAGGCGTCGGTTCATACACTCTTTGTACACTCGGTGAGATTAAAATTGCTTTATTCCCTTCTTCCTTCCTGTATTGTATCCTTATACACAATATTTTTTAAATATATTACTATCATTGAAGTAACCACTTCTACGAACTTGGTGTTTATCTTGTTGTGCAAATGAGGTGTGGCAACTTGAACCGATCCATATATGTGCCTAGCCGTACATTGTAGCTGACTGACTGACATGCAGTTTATAATATCGTTCAAAAGAAATTATCAAGCGATTAGATTTTATCGCACAACACACTGCTGTGTGACTAAATTATCCTGAGGCTTTGCGAGTTATCATCATCTTTGAAATGATATGACTAAACAACTTACCAGATCTGTTTCTTTTGTCACACGTATTATTTTATTACTGTGACAAAGCCATATATAAATGTAATGAATCATATCCTGAGCAGCAACATGTTCATAAGTGATCAAAGATCTAACAGTGAACAACATTATCTGTTCTGAACTCATCAGTTCCTGTATAATTCTCGGCATATTTCAATATTGCATTGTTACAATGTCCTGTTATGGACAGAGGAACAAATTTGAACTTTTCAACATTACCTCACTGATACGTCTGAACCAGTTTCACAAACGTTTGACGTTATCAGTTTTGAAACTGAAAAGCATACTAACAGTTATGATATCATAAATGATTAGATGTGTATTTGATATGAATAGAAAACTAGAGAAGCAATGACAAACAACAGAAGCTATATTTCGGGATATTACTTCACTTAGTCCGAAGTTTGTAAAATGCAAACATTTAGTTTTGTCCTTGGTTTATTCTATAAACCATAAGCTTTCGTTTGATATTCTATTTGCTGCTACACCAATCGAATCACGCTTGACGGAGCAGCCTAGGAAGATGTAAACACCTTTACATATCTAGGTAGCATCATTGATGAGGATGTTAAGGCGCGAATCGGCAAAACAAGAGCAACATATCTACAATTGAAGAACATCTGAAACTCAAAACAACTGTCAATCAACACCAACGTCTGAATTTTCAATACAAATGTCAAGACAGTTCTGCTGTATTGGGAGGAAACTTGGAGAATCACGAAAGCCATGATCCAGAAGACATTAGTGTTTATTAACCGCTGTCTACACAAAATACTTCGGGTTCGTTGGACAGACACTATTAGCAACAACGTACTGTTGGAGAGAACAAACCAGATTCCAGCGGAGGAATAAATCAGGAAGAAGCGCTGGAAGTGAATAGGACACACATTGAGGAAAGCCCCCAACTGCGTCACAAGACAAGCTCCTACATGGAGTCTTCAGGGCCAAAGGAGAAGAGGAAAACCTAAAAACACATTATGCCGATCCATAGAGACAGACAAACAGACATGAGAAGAATGAACAACCATTGGATAGAACTAGACAGGTAAGAGGAGGACAGATTGGGTTAAAGAGTTCTGGTCGGGTGCCTATGATCCATTGAGAGTAATAGGCTTAAGTAAGTAAGTAAGTATGTTTTACTTATTCAATAATTATTGTGATGTAAATGTGACGTTTTGTGCTTTATTCTTCCACCCTAATTCATGGTTTGAATATAATCGTATTTTTACTAAATGTCTGTGAGTTGTGGTCATGTTAGTCATCTATCTACTCATGTGTCCATTGCGTTAGTCTGAATCAGGAATAAACAGGATGATGATTCACTAGGTTTTTCTTCTCTTTCTTGCTTGTCAACCAGTCAGGTGATAGAATGGCTGTCGTCTCTCTACCCTCAAGTCGTTTAGTGGCAATTCGAACCCCT